AAAACACTGCTCTTTCCTCCCAGGGAAGACCCCTCACCATTTGACAAACTTAGGTTGGGTTTCAACCTCATGCATGAAATCTCTTTGGGAAGCCTTTCTAAACTATCCTGTGATTCAAGCATTTACTCCCACGGTATCACTGTGGCTCTTGGATGTTATCAGATTTCCTTGTTATAACACCAAGGACCTGTCAACAGACTTTGGAGGAATTCTTTTTGTCCCAAAGCATCAGCTAGTATACAAGTCACAGTGTTGGACTTGAACCTCCACTTGGTAGGAATTTAAATTTTGAGTGAACTCACTTTCTCAATTGATAAAATTGATAAAATTTGCATGTACTTAATAGGAATACTATGACACCATAATGCATGTAAAACATTTCATATAATACCTCTCATGAAATAAGCACTCAGTAAATGTCAGCTTCATCAGCATCACCACCACCACCACCATCATCATCACCAATGCCCATGGATGTATGGAAAGGCACACAAACATAGCATATATTCACATGAATATGGAATTCACTGAACACAGAGACTAGTATAGTTATCTACCTGGGACTTAATGAAGTTTGCTAGAAATAAACAAGGAGGAGAGGCCAGTTGACAAGGAGAGAAAAAAAAAATAAATGAGGGGACCATGAGTTCAGGGTGTGGTTTATGGGATTAAGGTTCAATCTAGCATCTGGATAGTTAAACTGAACCCGGGTACCAGGTTTAAGACTTTCACCCTAAGTTCTCACTGCTCAAAGCATGGATGGTGGGAAAACAGTAAGTTGAACCTAAGAGCCATAAAGGAGTTTGTCGTGGTTGACAAAGATACAGCTTCATTTAACTCAGGGCATGACTCTGTGGTGACCAAGGTAGCTATTCCTTTTGAGAATGCTCTATTTTAGAATCTATTTGGGTGGCAAAAGGCAAAAACACTGCCAGGTTACACATTAATCATGTGTATCTGAAGGTCAGTATGGACCCTTGGGTCAAAGGCAATTATGCCTAATAAAAGGATGCAGTTTCTGCAACACTAACACTGTCACCACAAACTTATCCAAAAGTTATCAAGTGTAAGGACATATCTAGTGGCTTTCTATCAGGGGCCATTTTGTCTCTCTTCTCCATAACATGGAGACTCTTCAGTTGTCATGTTAAGGAAAATTGGCTGTTCTATTGCTATTTCAAGTTTAAAGAGATTTGTGATACAACTGAGCATCCTACAAAGCACAGATCTGCGCGTGCGCGCGCGATCACACACACACACACACACACACACACACACACACACACACACCCAGTCTAAAAGATTCATTGTGCCCAAGTTGAGAAAACCCAGACTTCCCTAAAAGCTTAAATTTATCACTTATTTACTACCTAATAAGTAACTTGTGGCCTTTATTCCTAAACTCCAAAAGAATGTAGTGAAATGACTTCCTGTCTACCTCAAAGCTGTACTTCTACTAGTAGGTCTTGTAAAACTATACATAAATGTTCTTTGAGGTCCCCAGTGTCACCAAAGTCCATCCCAATTCTACTGCCCTGAGGGATATAGCATAGTTGATACTGGCAAAGTCATGATGCTTGGTTATTAGACATAAATTGTTTCATGTCTGAGTATCTTTGTTCCTAACCCAAGCTTGGCCAAAAGAGATCCATAGTTCATCCCAAAAACCACAGATATTAAATAGCACACATTAAAAACCCACTCACATGCATTGCAAGACACTTTGAAAAATCAGTAGCATCCCAATTTGAAGGCAGGAGCTTGCCAGAAAACAGTTTCTAAGAAATTAAGACTTCATTGGATTATCCCAATTCCTTTCTATCAAGACAAAAAGTGGCTAAGGATAAGATGATGTTATAGAAATTCTCTAAGCTCTTTGGAGACAATATCATCCTTCCAATGGATTTATTCTTTAATGAGACTAATAGGTCTCCCTTATTTTTTTAAAAAAAATCATTTTGAAGACTGTGATATTGACAACCACAGTCAATGCTCAAATCTCTGTCCTTATTTCTTCTCAGAGAATGTGCAGCTAAAATTTCTCAAGCACCTCTCGGAGCTCAGACACTGAAACCTACACTTTGAGCTGACTAAACAGGCGTGGGAGCGAACTTCCAACCCCAAGCTGTCACCCTGACAGGTTGTGTAAGCATGCTTCAACATTGACACGGCAAGTAACTTATCCATGAAATGAGATGGAGGGCAATGCAAGGAAGGGGCTTAACTTTACCACCTGAGATGGGTTCCCTGGTTCTACACCACCTGGGAGCTTGTTAGAAACAGAGCATCCCAGCCCCACCCCATCTCAATCAGTACTTTAACAAGGTCCTAAGGGATTCTCAGCACATGAAGCTGCAGCAGTATTATGTCTAGAATTCCTAAAACACCTGCATTTTAGATTTAACCCATTTGTTTTTAAGTTTTCAGCCTTTTAACACCTGTATAATTCTATCAGGTCCGTATGCTTTGGATGGAGGCAGACCTGGAAGATATTTGGTAATACGTACATGTGGGGTACAGGGGCATCCATGAAACAGAACAGAGGGTATAGACATGTTCTGCTCCTTAGGGGGTCCACTTATAATCGGCAATTGTGGCTGCTGAGATTGTGGGAGAGGAGAACAGAGGACAAGAATGAACTTCCTGGTTTTGTTCCCTACTCTCATCCAAGGAGGTTCTACTTAGAAAAATTTTAGAGAATAAAGCCATCGTTTCTGTGTAATTGCCTTAATCATTGGCTGCCACATCACGTGAGCCCATACAGGAAGCCAAAATGAGGCTCTAAGGACACAGCTGCCTTCATCAGTGGGCGCAGGTGGTGCAGCCCCCAGTCTTGTCTAACAAAAACAACTCCTAGATTGCAGATGCCTGGGGACCAGTGGCCTCACCTGCTCTTCACCTCTAGAGAAACAATTAGACTCCATGTCTTCTGCCAAAAATGTTTTCCCATCATCTCTTCACATTTAAGTCATTATTAAAACTTAAGGAAAGCCAAGAGTGACCCACCTGGAATCTCCGCATGTCACGTGGGTTTCCTGCATTCTTTAGGCAATTTTGGTTGCATTTAAGGAAAAACTTCAGGAAGAATCTGTGGAGAAACAATGATCATAGTTAGCATTTCAATCCTAACAAGGGCGTCACATTCAGAAATCACTTCCAGGCTATATGTTCTCTTTTCTTCCTGCATCTCCTGCAATACTCAGAGTGGTTGCTGGAATCAGTATTATACTCAAGGCTCAGGTCTTCATATTGCACCCCAGGTGGATTTTCTTTCTGAAAGGAATACTCCTGGTACAGCCAACAGATCTCACAAAAGAATTAAACCTCCAGGGAGTATTTTTATTCAGAGAGCAAACCGTCATCATAATTTAACATAGGTTCCAAAAGGATCTAATTGAGAGTTCCCATGGTCCCCAAACATAACATATCATTTAAGTGTTACAAGTTCACAGACGAAGAATAGCAAAGTGTATATTGGATAAGTACAAGGAGATAGTAAATACTTTGAATCTTAGTATCTCCAAATAAAATGTTCAAATTAGCAGCTCTGGAAGAAGTGGTAGGTTCACATATGGATTAAGCCCTTCCAACTTCTCCAATACCTCCAGATCATTTCTTTTCTTTAAGATACTTGCCTTAAAGGCTATTTATGATTGAGCTTGGACCTTCCTGCCTCTCTGCCCACCTTAGCTTCTGAGTAAGTTCTATAGTGAGAGCCACAGGTTTTATGTGGCTAGGTAACCACAGTCTCCAATTGGCTAGAGAAATCACCTATGTTGGTGAATCTATTTTAACTTTCAAAACTGTCCCAATGTGTTTGACACAGGACTTGGTCACACTAAGTAACTACTACAATTATTGGAGCTCATCCCAGAAAGACGGTAGGTGTGTAGAGTTTTGTACTAGGATATCCATACTGGTCATCCTCAGTTAAACCCCTCTTTCTGTTTTCTATTTGGGGGAAATAGAGGAGTTTTAGGTCCACCTATTTTCTGCATTTTTTTTTACTTTGGGGTCTGGATAGATGTATTAACAGAGTGTATTAAAATATTGGTCAATGAAATTCTTCTAGAAATTCTCTTTTCTTTACCTTTTGCCCAGAGCTTTAGAGCTACACCAGAATAAAATCGTCAACTCAATATAAATAATGTATGCAAAACTAGCATTCCATGATGGCGCCATCTGAATTTAGTTTTGAGTACAATCTCTGTCAGCAGTATAGCCCTGTGAGCATGATCCTCTATCATAAAGGCACTACACAAAGACACATCACATTCAAACAGCTTCTGCATACAAATTCCAGAACAATATCTACTCTCCCTGGCCCCTGAGAATCTTCCAGGGTGGGAATAAATGGGAGCATTGAAGAGAAACAATGACTTTTTCAAACAAAATGATAAGATTTTACAATGTAAGAGTCTTCTTAAATGAAGTCATTTAACATTACACAACCCTCAAAGCCCATCAAGGAGGCTGCCTCTGATAATGGTTCACCCCTACATCCAGGGCCTCTCCACAGAGGCCAGCGCTTATTGACCTTCTGTCTAGGATGAATGACTCACAGAACACTGTTAAAGTCCAGCTGTGTGTAACGGAATCAACCCTGGGCCTCCCCCATACCCAGAACAGCTCTTGCTGCTGCACATGTTAGCCATCCAGCCACTCTGTCACTCAGTCATTTTCACTGCCCTGTTCCTCTGAGCCTCAGAAGATGACTCAAACAGTACATGTGGCTTTCAGACATTATCAAATGTCTAAAGGCAGTGGTAATGTGTCCCCCATATTGCTGGCATTGTCTTCGATACTTAGAAGAGTACATATAAAAGCCATCACAGGGTCCAAGGAGGGATGATCCCCATTCTAAAGACAATGAAAGTTTGTGTGGTGTGGTGCTGTAAGGTGTAAAAGCCACCAACTTTATAAAAACACCCAGTATGGGATTCTCAACCAAACCTTTGCCAAGTACTACTTATGTGCATTTGGATGTGAGGCTGGGCCTCAGCTTTTCTCATCTACAAAATGGGCACAGTAAGAGCATGTGCCTTGCAAAACAGTGGTGCAATGATGCTGTGTAGTGCCTAAGGCAGGTCAGGATGATGGAGGTGGCAGTATCAGATGTCTCTGAGTACTTTAAACACACTCCTCCTTCCCATTCTCCTAAATAACCCCTGCTGTCCACCCTGTATAATCCAGGAGGCCACTCAGAATCAGAGACATCCAATTGCTTGCCCAAAAGTGAGTAAATGCGGATCTAGAATTCACTTCTGAGAGAGTGGTCTCAGAGGCAGGGCTCTGAACCAGCACGCTGAGGTAGTGTGGTAGAAGTACAGTGAAGATGTTAGTAGCCATTGTCCCATTGGTGGAAAGTGAATAATACTGAGTAAGAACAATGGTTTTACTCAGGGAAACCACAGGGTCATTACCCAACCCCCAAGGGCAGCACCAAGCTAGGGAGTGCTATCACCACCGTCCTCCCCCCAGTGAGCCCCCCTGCCTGTCTCCCCACAGTTGATAATACTTGCCGCCTGTACGTGTTTAAGCCATTTGAGCCCAGGCCTGACAGCCAGATTCAGGTTGTGTTAGAAGGAGCTGTCAGCACACCCTCTGGCATCCTCAAGTCAGACAACTGCTAGCCACCGTGAGGGGTTCCATCTGGTGCCAAAATGGGTTTTGAAAGACAGGCAAACAGGACACTGGCTTTGCCAGAGAGAAAAAGAACCAAGGGAGCCACAGATCCTGTGCTGAGTAGCGCTGGGGCGCCTGTCAGCAGCTCATCGTTAGCACAAAACCTACGCTGGGCACACACCAGATCGCCTTTAAAACTATGCTGGGCACACACAGGGTTGCCGTTAAAGCTGTGCCGGGCACACACTCGATTGCTGTTACCCTAAGCTGCCCTGCCACTTGGCCTGCTGGCAGAATCCCCCGCCCACCCCTTCAGCTGCAGAGCACTTGCTGAAATTGAAGTCTTGACCATCTGTCACGGGTAAGACAGCCGTCAACTGGTGCCTAGGGCCTCACACAAGCCCTTATGTAGCAAAGACACTGGGAAGGGCCAGTTCTTTTGGAGAAAGCCAGTCCCACTCCAGGGCATCAGGAATTCTCTCAAAGTTTTCCCCTAGGTACAAGCCAAGTACCTGACTCTTTTGGATCACACTTCTTTAAAGGAACTCCGAAGAGTAAGGAGGAGTTAAAAATACCCTCACTGAGAGATTGAGTCAGATGTGAGACACAAACTTGGGGGATGGTTTATTCAAGTAAACATATAAGGTATCTGTGAACTTGGGGACACATGTGTGCCTGGTGTCTGCTGCACCACACTGAAGATCTCTGATTCTGAGGAGCTTTTAACAAAGTGGAACCTATTGTAACACAAAACCATATGTTTGTCTAAAGAACAGCCACATTCTGTGTGTTTGATAAAACGTCAGTGGAAAGAGCATGGCTGCCCTACCCCAACTGTGGGAACCTGACCCACAGCAGGACAAAGCTGCTATTGACCCTGCAGAGTTCCGAGGAGTTCCATAAAGTCCGGGATCAAACTCTCTTTTTAACTCGGCTCTTTTTTTGGAGGGGTGGCATGGCTAGGTAGCGAGAAACCCAACACCTTTCAGCTAACTTTCGGCAGGAGTAACATCATTATTATTTAACACATCTTTCACTGTGTTATTATCCAAAGCATTTAAGTTCCCAGGGTCTCTCTGAATCCCCAGTGAGGTCCTTCAAGATAGGCATGCCAGGAAGGGATTGGCTCGCCTGGAACATAACCCGCAAAGACTCAACAAAAATAAGGGACACAGTTATAGTTCAAAACTGGTATTCTAGATTGCTGATAGGGATGGTCATGATATCCATTTTCCTTGAATTACAGTGTGTGTGTGTGTGTGTGTGTGTGTGTGTGTGTGTGTGTTTTATGCACATAGCCATACATGCAACCAGAGTATGTCCAGTGTCCTGTTCTACTACATTGAACCTGGAATGTGTTATTTTTCTGCTAGGTTGGTGACCAGAAAGCCACAGAGGGCCTCCTGTTTGCTCCTTGAACAGTGCTGGGATTTCAGTTACAGGGACAGCAATGCCCAAGATTTTAAGTAGATCCAGGAGATTGGAACTTGGGTCTTGGTCTTCATATGTATGCAGCAAGTGCTCTTACTCACTGAGCCATCTTCACAGCCCAAATCACAGGAGAACTTTCAAGTGACTTTAACAATCCATTAGTCTAACCTCCTCACTTCACGTGTAAGAAAGTTGAAACTCAGGAGGCAGGATTGCCCTTGCCATTCCCAGTGGCTATGAAAGTGAAGCTGTATTCCACATGTGCTGAGTGTCAGCCCTGTGATCTTTCCAATGTGTCCCAGCTCCTCACACAGCAATCCAGCAAGAGGTCAGCACTCAAGTATGTGAACTTTTTATTCTACCACTTCAATTAAGGAAAGTGACAGTCATAAAACCAGAAGTGACATCCTATTAAAAGTTGTGTTTAGATTCATCAGTCAGGCTGATATAGGATGTTAGTCCATTATTGAAGTAACTGAAACAGACGCACACGTTGTAGAATACATTTGTTGATTTGGTTATATACTTTATAGTATTTCCCCAAGTAATAGAGTTTCGGTATTTGCCTGGAATCCTTGTAACTAGTGTAGTATTGGTGACTAAAAGTACTGTGTTGCAGAAAGAAAATCAATTAACCACCACAATCAGATTCCTACACGAGAGTATGAAAAAGAAAACAAACAACAAAGCCTTGCTTTCATATACACAATGGATGCCATGGGACATAAAACTAGTGGAGTTTAGTAAATATTGGTTTGCTAAAGAGAATTTAGAGCCTGCCTTTGAATACAAACCAGCACTTTCCACATTAAAGACAGTAGCAGAGTATGCTGAACAAGCCAATTTTGTTGAAGATGAGACAAATGTAGGTCAAATCCAATAATTCCATGACCCTTGGTGGTGTCAAGCAAGCATGGGAGTAATAGGACTTTTTTCCTCCCATACAGCTGGGTAGCTTTCATTTTACATGGAGCTATGTTGCTTAACTAAATATGTGATCTTCACCAAATAGATGTAATCTCCCCATGCCTC